TCAGTGAGAAACAGAAGATTTGACAGACCATAGTTGACAGCAATTACTGGAAAAAATAAAATTGTTCCATGTTTATACCAGAAAATTAGAACTACTTAACACACACATATATGTATGCATTATTTGTATGTGCGTGGGACAGTATTCTCTAAATACTGTTCTGCCACTTTCTTCACTCAAAAATATAACTTCAATATAATTTGATGTCACTACACATTTTTTATTTCATTACTTTTTATATCTGCACAATTTCCACAGTGTGGATAATTTATTTAACCATTCCCATATTAGCGAAAATTTAAATCGTTTCCACCAACTTGAACTTTCAACATTGGAGGGGTTACAAAGTTGAACCAGATAAGGTTTTTGTCCTATGGCACTTACAGATAAGTAAGGGATACAAAGCAGAAAGTCAACAAAACAGGATGAAAGAGTTAGGATGGGTAAATAGAGTGCAGGCAACTAAGTCAGAATCAACAGGTCAGCAAAGATTTTCTTTCCATTATAAACTTAATATTTTAAAGCACCTAGCCAGCAACAACAGCACTCTCTCCCCAACAACTCTGCTTTTGCCACAGGAAAAAGTTGCCTGGTCCAAGCTGTAGTACAGCTGAAGTGTGCCTCTCCGCAACCTAGCAATAGCTCTACATAGATACGAACCTCAAGGCTTAAGCAAAGCAATCTCAAGAATCTAGCTGAGGTGGATCTTAAGCATTCTGTCACATAGTAAGAAAGTCTAAGCAGACCAACTCAAGGATTCCTATTACTGTGGTCAACACAGACACCATGGGGACGTATGAAAGGGCAGTGGTTATGACACAGCATTTCAGGTTCACAGCAATTCATAAGCATTATGCTCTGGATAACTAGAAACTCTTGGCCACAATAATCCACAATGTGTGCAGCATTTAGCTGTGAGTTCAGGAAGTGGGCAGAATTATCTGGAAGAGATGAAAAGTTGTGCTTCAAGTTAAGTTCATTTGCTTGGATGTGGCCAGTGGCTATCCCGAAGAGTTTGTGGAACTTCTGAAACTTACGCATGCCAAATTTCCAAATGTCAGGGAACGTAGTGACAGGAGAGATGGTAGAAGAGTTTACTTTCTGAAGCAGAGACTTATAGTCTAAGTGGAAATCAGCCTGGGCTCTATGTGTACCATTTACATCAGAACATGAGTGGACTACCCGCAGTTGAGCAAAGTGACGAAATGCGTTGGGTCTCGTTGCACTCCAAAGGGGCAAATCATCTCAGAAGACAGCTGCTTTGAGTCCATGCACAGCAGCCAAACCTTTGGATCTGGAGCAGATTTTGCCATACTGGGAGGGATGTTTTCAAGCCATAGATAGTGTGCTAGAGAAGCGAGGGAGAGAAATAGCCCTCTCAAGCTATTCTATGGGATGAGCTTTGAAAGAGCAATAAGAAATATGCAGGAGTTGCTGAATACAGAGCCTCAGGAAATGACTTCGAAAGAGAACATAAAAAACAATATTCTGGATATCATATTCTTGTATAAGAGCTCCTTTCTCCTCCCCTCACAGCACTTGAAAGGCTTTAGACTTTGGAGCTATCCCCAGTGCCCTCTTGGTGTATAAAAACAGAATATTGATTGGGTCAGAGGTACATGGTGTCTACTCTCCAGAATTCATGTCTTCATTGTTTAAATCAATTTGTGCCCTCTTTTCATTCCTTTTTAAAAATAGTTTTTAATTGACAAGAATGCTCTTGTCTCCAAAAATCTTACATTTAAAAAGCTACTGTGATTAACTTGATTTCAAAGGCAGCTGAATGCTATATTGATGCACTGAAATTGCTCAGGGACGAGGATGAAGGTAAAGGCCTGTACCATCTGGCTCTTGGTAAGGTGTGAACCAGTGAGCTGACTGATCTCTCTCTTATGACTATTTAGGAAAACAGGACAATATCCTCTGTCAGTAGCTCCATAAAAATGGTATTAAGGTTGTTCTGACTATCTGTAAGTAGAATAAGCAGAGGAGGGGGACAATGAAACTTCTGCTCCAATTTTTGTGCAAGCAGAAAGAAGGATCGTCTGTGAGCCAATTGGCATACAGCTCCTTCTGAATCTCTGAGATTTCTGGGAGATGCACTGTTTAAAATCACAAGAGCCACTCAAGCAGCATGAGAGCTGGAGCCTGACCCCCACTCTCCATCAACCCACATTTGAACATCTGCCTGGTTAGATAACCCCCACCCAACACAAACACAAACACACAGGAAAGGGGAAAGGTAAAAGGCAACATTTGCTAAGAGCAATATGAGGGGTGCAGACCCTACCTGCAGCATTGATGGGGCAGGGCGGGGTAGAGATCACTTCCAGCTGAGGTGGCTTTAGAGGCTGGGTGATGAAGGTTAGGTCCCTAAGAATGAGCAGGACCAGGATCTAGGAGGAAGAGGAGTGCAATCAGGTGGAAGAACATATCATGCAAAGACAGAGAGAAGAAGGCATACTTGGGCATAGTGTATGAGAGTTCCTTTTGGATGGGGCAGAGAAGTAGATGACAAGTGTGGCTCAATTCTGATCAACACTGAATGTCAGGATGAGGAAAGTAGGATTTAATTCACAGATAGTGGGGTTGCCAGCCAGGGCCTTTGAACAGGAGAATGACAAGTTGAAAATAAGAAAGAGTGAAGTTTAATTTGATGGTAATGTGCAAAGTAAATTGAAGATGGAGAGGGAGGCCTGAAGGTAGATAGGTCAGAGAAAAGGTTACCCTAGTAGTCCAGTTTGAAGCAATGTTTATAGCAACTCTTTTCATTATTACTCAAAACTGAGAACAACACAAATGTCCTACTGAGGGTACATGGACAAATAAACTGGAACATCCATATAACAGAATACTACTCAGTAAAAAGAAAAGAATGAGCTATTAATGCATGAAACAGCTTAAATGATGAATCTCCAGGGCATTATGCAGAGTGAAGGAAGCCTGTCTCTAAATGTGACATGTTGTAGATTTCATTTATGTAACATCCTGAAAAAGACAAATGATAGGAGTTGGGAATAGATCAGAGGTTGCCAAGAGTTCAGGAAAGGGGGGTAAGGTATGACTGCAAAGTGGTGGCATGAGGAAGTTTTTTTGGGGGTGATTGAACTGTATCCTGTATTGTGGTGGTAGTTCCACAAATCTATACATTTCTTAAACTTCATAGAACTGTACACCCAAAAAAGAGTCCATTTCTCTATATGATAATAATTTTTTAAAAATATCAGTTATCCCCTGTTAAATATAACATCTGAAAGGATGGAAATATTTTGTGGTACTTAATGGTTACATCTTTATAATTCAGTAGCTATATTTATATTAAAAACTCTCCCTCGAATAATAGGAAATATATCCATCAACTGTGGAATAAATTCTTCATGCTTAAATATAAATGATAAAACATTAAGACAACAAAAATACTTTTTCCAACCCTGCTTTCTCTGTGGTGGGCTCTGTTTTTGGCTACCGCATCCCACTGTGACCATCCTAGATAAGAGACCCCTCTCTGCCTCCTTCCCCTGACTCTCCAGCTGGCTCCACTGGCCAGACTGCCATTCCCAGCACCAACATACCTCCAGGTACCAGTGGATTCTGGGTTGCGGGGATATCAATTTCCTCTTTTAACTAATATTTTTACTGCAATGATGTCCTCTCTGCTTTCTGATCATAACAATTATGCATGTTGATAGTTCTCTTTTCTAATGGATCAAAGTGAATGATATCAGAATATCTCAAGAGTGGCATGCAAGAACAAAAATTCCACCTGTTAAAAAGCCTCACACCAAATGGTGAGATAGAGGGAACTCTCTCCTTTCTGAGTGTTTCAAGGATGTATGAGAGTTATTTTCCAACACATTTTTTTGAGTTCCAAAGTAAAGTTGACTCCTTAGACTCATCTGATTAGCAAGGCACTGGATCCTACAGAGGACATGAGAAGAGGCAGTGTGCCTAAAGCCTCCACTTAAAACTCAAGCGGAAGCCATGCAGCAGTCCTCATGAAAAGGTCAGACATCTAATACTTGATAACTTGAGTTCAGCCAGAAAGAGAAAAAGTAGTGGATTACTTACATAAAATTGCTACACAAGGGAAAACTGGGCCTCTTCCCACAGATTAATTTGGGGTCAGGTTTTTTTTGTTTTGTTTTGTTTTTGTGGTACGCGGGCCTCTCACTGTTGTGGCCTCTCCCGTTGCGGAGCACAGGCTCCGGACACGCAGGCTCAGCGGCCATGGCTCACGGGCCCAGCCGCTCCGCGGCATGTGGGATCTAACGGACGGGGGCACGAACCCGTGTCCCCTGCATCGGCAGGCGGACTCTCAACCACTGCGCCACCAGGGAAGCCCTGGGGTCAGTTTTTAAAGGCGCTGCTTTAATAAGATTTTAAAAACCTTTTCTAACAGATCAATATGTTGTGAAAACTGTCATTTCATTTGCAGCCATTAGAAAACTTTTCCAAAGTCTTAAAAATTCATGTAACTAATTTGTCCTCCATATTGTGCCAAATATTGCTTATGTGGAATCTCTTTCCTAAAAATCATTTTTAAAAAGTATGCTGATTGTTTAAAACATTACACAAAGCAGAAAACTATTCAAGAGAACTAGTAAAAAAGAATTCCACACCCTCACTCCCACATTCTTTTCTAGCCGCCCTCCCGCCCCCATCTACCACCTTCCCCCATTTTAATGCTAGACAGGACTCCAAGGGAAATGGTGGACTGGAGGACCTTGGGGGAGGCGTGGAGGTGAAATTGGAAGCAGGAGAGAGAGATGATTCCCCAAAGAAGAAGGAGAAATGGTCGATTCACCCCGAGAGGCTGATTCTCCCTGGTAACCCGAGAAAAACGAGTAGAAACTGCTGGGAGAAGATACCAGTATTGTTGTCTCTGATTGGCAAATACGAAAAAAGATTGACAGTATCAAGTGGAGGGAACGCAGGGGGCGGGCTGCAGTGTTAAATGGGAGGGGTAACCGAAGACCCGAGCTCATTGATGACGCAACGCTCACGTGACCAGGAGTCGACGTGTGCAGAAGTCCTTATAGTCCAGGGCCTGTTTCCCTGTAGCAGCTCCCTATTGCTGGAGGAGAAAAGTGCCCCGGATCCTTTGAGGTCAGTATAAAGGTGGGCGCTGCCTTCGGGACCCTGGGGCCTAGGAGTCAGAGAGCAGAAACCAAGCGTTGCCGGTACCGCTTTCCCAACACTACGGTTCCGCCAAACTCTCATTTTTGTGCAGGAAATTTGGGGCTGTTTGGGGGTGGGTGGGGGTGGAGAGGGAGAAGGGCAGCCAATTGAGGGTCCCGAGACAGAGACATAGAAACAATTTGGAAATAACTTGTCTTCCACTCCCTGCTTGCAGGGAACCGGTGGGCACGGGGGAAGGAGGGCGGGGTTGCCTTAAAAGGAGGGAGAGGATGAGGACGTGGGGAAACTTTAGACGAACAAGGCCTAGAATCGTGAAAGGGACCCGTGATTCAGGTACTGACCTGCTCACCAAGCACTCCTGTCTGCAGGACTCTTGGTCTTTTGGGAGCGACCCAAATCGAGTGAGGGAAGAGGGAGGAAAATCCCCTGGATCCCTGCAGGTCAGTGTAAAGGTGGAATTGCCTCAGGTCCCTGGGGGTGGCTGTGGGGGGTGGGGTGTGAGTCCGGACGACACCAAAGCCCATCCCGGGTCGCTGCCGCCTCTCTCCATCCGGTTGAAGCGCCGGAGGCCTGTGCAGAGCCTGCAACGGAAATGGGGCGGGGGCGGGGGGGGAGGAGACTGGAGAGACGTGGAAGGGGGAGGGGAGGCCAGAGACTGGACCAGCCGGTCTCAGGTGAGAGGCAGGAGGTTGGAATGGCTTGGGAAAGCCCAAAAGGGCGGGAGTGTTGGGAGACCCGAGGCAAGGGAGGGGTTAATTGCTTCTGCGCTGCTCCAGTTTCGGTGCTAGGAGAGGCCTGTAGCAGGGCCTGCTGGGAAATGGTGGGCTGGAGCGGGAGCGAGAAGATGGAGCTGGAGCAGGAGGGGGAGAAAGGGGAGGGGGAGAAAGGGGTGGGGCCAGGGGAGTTCTGAGCCTGAGGATCTAGTCTTCTCTAGTTGGAAAACTTTGACAATTAGGGACCTGAATGTGAAGAGGCCAGTCTCTATGGAAACCCATGCTCTGACTGCTGGTCCATTTGCCTGGCATCTAGTCGTTTTGTTTCCTTGTTTTCCAGGGTTAATTTATTCAAAAAGGAAATAAGAGAAAAATACTCAACATGCAAAAGTCTTGTGAAGAAAATGAAGGAAAAGCACAGAACATGCCAAAGGCTGAGGAAGACCGCCCTATGGAAGCTGTACCACAGGAGGCAGAAAGAAATCCTCAACCGTCTGAAGAAGGTGAAAGCCAGGAAGCAGAAGGAAACCTTAGAGGAGGGCTGACTCAGCCTGGTCAGGGATATAAAGAGGACACTCCGGTTAGGCATTTGGACCCAGAAGAAATGATAAGAGGAGTAGATGAGTTGGAAAGGCTTAGGGAAGAGATAAGAAGAGTAAGAAATAAGTTTGTGATGATGCATTGGAAACAAAGACATTCACGCAGCCGTCCTTATCCTGTGTGCTTTAGGCCTTGAATTCTTTTTTTTTTGGTCTGATGTTAAAATCTGGCCCCTGCTTTCTTTCTGTTAGCATTTTCTGATGTATCTTTGACTATTGTTTTATTTTTAATCATGTGGTGGAGTTTTGTTGTACGTAGTGTCCTTATTACCAGCATCTGGATTTTGTATTTTGACACATTCTCCAGGTCTGTTTTTCAATTGGGAAGTTTCACACATATGCATGAAAATATGTTCATTCCATATTGTAAAGTAAAACATAACAGGTTACAGCATATTTAGTATCAGCTCACATATGTAGGAGAAAATCTCAAATTGTGTGTGTGTGTGTGTGTGTGCGTGTGTATACATACATATATCAAAAATTTAACTGCTTATTTCTGTGTGGTGTGAGTTTTTTTCTTTTTGCTTATATGTATTTTTTAATGAACACGTCACACATACAAAAAGAATTAAAGTTTTTTTTTTATAATTAAGAGTCAATCAAATAATTTGCAACCAGCTTATAAGGGCAATGGGGGGACCTAAATTCTTGATGAAAGAACTATTAAAAAAAATGTAAACCTCAAATTACTTCTGGATCTCTTAGCCAGAGGAATAAAACTGGCAGTTATTACAGATACACTTGCTTAAGACTCAGTCTTTTCATGGGAAAACATTTGCCTCACAGGGCTGCTGTGGGGAAGAAATGAGGTGACTCTGAGCTGTGCTTGGTGGGCTCTTGTTCCCACCTATGCATACAGAACCCCAACCCACTACAGAACATCAGTTTTGAGGGAGGGAGGGTCCTGGCATGACTCAACCTGCACTCAGGAACAAGTCCAATAGGCAGGGAGGTGGGCTCCCCTGGGTCCTGCCAGGCCTGCTGGGCACTGCTGCCTTTTCTGCTGGGCCCTTTGCTCTCTGCTAGCCCTGCTGCTGGTGGTGCAGTGGAGTCCTTGAGTGCCAAAGCCCCGTTGAGTTTCCTGGAGTCCCCAGTGCGTTGAATCCCCACTCTGTCTTCTAAAGCTTCTCTCTGCTTTATAGTGATGCTTAACAGAGGTGGGGACTGTTCCAGGATTGCTTGGGCCACAGTGTTTAGCAGAGTTTTTAGTAAAACAGCCCCTTCCATTTTCAGCCACAGGACACTTCCTCCATAGGAGTCAGACATGATGAGTCCATTTTGGGGGTTGGACCAGGGTTCAAATTTGAGCAAAAGATGTCATGCTATAGTCAGAGTTGCGCTCGAAGTCTAAGAACTGAGGTTTTGTCTTCTTTCTCTTATGGGATGATTTCTCCCTGAAGGCTCCTGTCAGGCCTGCCCTACTGGTTCAGAAGACTCAGAATATGCATAAATTGCACAAAGCAGTACAGGAAACAGATCTAAGGGAACAGTTCCCTTCACCCCATCCCATCCCCAGTTGATACGTGAAAAAAAAAAAAAACTTGGAAAGGCAAAAACTTCATAAATACACTTAAAATAGAATGGCTTCTATGTAAATGTTAGGAATTATATTTTCCTTACAGATCAAAGGCTATCTTTTCCTCCTGATATGCCACCTACTTGTAACACATCATGTTTCAATATTTAATTGACTTCTTGATTGATTATTGCTAAGGAGCCAGTAGGTTTGTCCAAATTCTGCTATTGACTCAATAATCTTACACAAGTCTTTTTTTTCTAGTATTATTACAAGCAATTCCAGAAAGAAACAGTTCATGGAATGGATTGCACTCCAAATGTTTTATCAAAGCCTTGCATAATTACCTGCATCAGTATCACCTGGGGAGCATCTTTAAAATACTGATTTCTGGGCCCCACCTAAGACTTACTGCCTGGAGGTGGGCTGTAGAAGTAACAGGTAACAAACTCCTCCAGGTGATGATGCTATACACTGAAGCATGAGGACAACTGGTATATACAGTATGCTTTCCATTATTGCAAATATGAAAGTAAAATAATTAGAAGAAAATACTGGTGAACTTTAATTGAAATTCAGGAAGTAGAAGCCTATAACAGCATTTATCTTTTTAAGTATGAACTTTTAAAGGAAAAGGTTGACAGGTTTATATATAAAATTTTAAAGATTCATTTTAACAAAGACAAGATAAAAAATCAAGGGGGGGAGCTATATAAGATGCATTTTTCTTGACGGAGCACCATCAAGAAAATGTTTGGCCATGCATTCACTCCTTCCAATATGAATAAAATATATTAAAGTTCTCCTGTGATCAGCTCAGAAAACAATGAGCCATCCCTGTCCTCTTTGGCTTTTTAAAAATTTTTTCACTGTGTGATGCCATTTGGGGGGAGTGTTCATGTCACCAGCCCATTCTCCAAAGTTATGGCAGCCTGATGGATGCTGGTCAGGCTGGAGTGAGATGAAGGTCCAGGAACTCACTTGCCAGCATTATAAGATGGGATGAATCCAGTGCACTGGCACTGAGGTTTGGAACTGGGGCAGGATGTGGAAGGGCTCCCCCAAGGCACATCCCTCTCCAGGGTGGTCTGACTTTGGTTTCTGTGCTCCAGCCTGCAGCAGGCACCAGACTCTTCTAGGCTGAAGGCCAGGCTGTCCTGGACATACATACCTGGAGGACAAGGACTGTCCCCATTGCAGGTCAGAGCACTAGACTTCCTTTACCCCCTTTTTCTTTCACAAGGGGGCTTGATGGGAACTTTTGTTTTCACTGTTTGAAAAGCTTTATTTTTTTTATGGAAAGGCATTTTATTTTAAATACAGCCGTGTGTACATGTCAATCCCAAATTCTCAATCTGTCCCTTCCCCCCACCCTTCCCCCTGGTAACCATAAGTTCATTCTCTAAGTCTGTGAGTCTGGTTTGTAAATAAATTCCTTTGTTTTTAGATTCCGCATTTAAACAATATCATATATTTGTCTTTCTCTGTCTGACTTCACTTAGTATGATAATCTCCATGTCCATCCATATTGCTGCAAATGGCTTTTTTTTTTTTTTTTTTTTTTCTGCAGTACACAGGCCTCTCACTGTTGTGGCCTCTCCCGTTGCGGAGCACAGGCTCCGGACGCGCAGGCTCAGCGGCCATGGCTTATGGGTCTAGCCGCTCCGCGCGGCATGTGGGATCTTCCCGGACCGGGGCACGAACCCGTGGCCCCTGCATCAGCAGGCGGACTCTCAAACACTGCGCCACCAGGGAAACCCTATTTCATTCTTTTTAATGGAGTAATATTCCATTGCATATATATACATACCTCAACATAATAAAGGCCATATATGACAAAACCTACAGCTAATATCATACTCAACAGTGAAAAGCTGAAAGCATTTCCTTTAAGATCAGGAATGAGACGAAGATGTCCACTCTCACCACCTTTATTCAACGTAGTTTTGGAAGTCCTAGCCATTGCAATCAGAGAAGAAAAAGAAAGAAAAATAATCCAAATTGGAAAAGAAGTAAAACTGTCACTGTTTGCAGATGACATGGTACTATACATAGAAAATCCTAAAGATGCTACCAGAAAACTACTAGAGCTCATCAATGAATTTGGTAAAGTTGCAGGATACAAAATTAATATACAGAAATCTGTTGCATTTCTATACACTAACAATGAAAGATCAGAAAGAGAAATTAAAGAAACAATCCCATTTACCATCGCATCAAAAAGAATAAAATACCTAGGAATTTGCCTACCTAAGGATGGGAACTTTTTAAGGGAAGAAGATAAGACTTCAAAATTCACTAACTGAAGATGTTGGTTTTGATAGCCTTTGGCCAAGCAGTTGCCTGAACTGGATCTGATCAGGTAACTTGGAGTTAAAGCAGGAAGGGCTGACCCTTCTCTCAGTGTCCAGTGAAATAGCTCCCAAAACAATTGGGGTGAAAACGGGGATAGATCTTAGACAAGATCTCTGTCATGCCTCTCCCACCCACCTTGCTCAGACTTCCAGAAGGGCCTCTGTTGTGTCTGGGCCTGTTTGGGTGGTTCTGTAGTGACTTTAGTTCTGTGTGGGCCTGATGCAGTGCTTCTGATGTCTGCATCAGTCCAGACCCAGAGGTAGAGGAGAGAGCCCAGGTAGAGGAAGCTTGCAAAGACATGTGACCCTACAGCTCAGGAGGAAAGGGGTGTCGCCTCCTGTTTGAACAACCTCATGCGCTGTAGTTCTAGCCCACAACTTGGGGGCCATGGCAGTCAAGTTATGAATTGGTACAAAGATGCTTTTGCAGGCATTGATGGTGGAGGAAGCAATGCCATTGTGACCCTTGCTCTTTAGGTCTGTCATCTGAGAAATCATTACCACTTTTTCTGGTTGGGCAATACGGTGAAGATGAAATTCACATTCTTGGGTTTAGGAAGGCAAAGTGGTTATGTATATGACCTTAGAGTCAGATAAACTTGAGTTCCAATCTGGACTCTTCCCCTTATAGTACGTGACCTTGCATAAATCTTTTCTTGGAGACCCATGGGGTGTCCGGACATAAAACTCTTAGATCAAAAATAAAGTTTCCTTTCCATTACCATCATTGCTGTTATCATCATAATTATCATCATCATCACCATTATGATCAAGGGATAGTACTGAGTGAATAACCAATGGATTCCTGTTGGGCACAGGTGTCATACTGTGAAGGATTGTAACAATCACTGGCGAAGCCTTGGAAATCCATCATCTGAAAGGGTGGACCCAGTATAATCAGAAAACACTGGCTAGAATTGGATTCTCTGCTTATAAGAAGTGTGAGGCCAGATTGGTTCATTCATCTGTAAAATGAGTATAACCCACAAGACTGTAGTGGGAAATAATGCAGAAAACTATGAAATTCCTGGCATATAATGGCTTTCAGAGAATGTTAGCTCTTTGATCATCATTATCATCCGTGTTGTCATTATCATTGTCATCATCATTATCATGAGATAATGCTGAGATAATACTCAAATAGGAACCCCAAAAGTCTGTGCTCGTTCCTTTCATCCAACCTTCTCCCTTGCCTAAAAGAAACAAAGTACAAACAAAGTACATAAACTAAATGGAAAAACTTTCATTCATTTGGAATTATAAAAGAAATAATTGAATTCTATATACATTTACATCATATATGAACTCTGGTGCCATTTCTGTATTGTAGGATGAGAAAAAGTTCCCTTCACATTTCCATTTTATTTAGTTGCCAGAAAATGTGAAATCATGAGGAAAGTCTTGCTGTCAGGAATGACAAAATATAATCTAGAAATATATCATTGACACGGAAAGTTGTTCCTTACATACTGTTTTGTGAAAAAGCCAGGTGCAAAACACAAGCACAGGTTAAGGATAAATATCAAAATATTTGAAGTGAATATTTCTAGATGGTGTTATTACATGAAATTTATAACTTCATCTTTATCCTTCTCTCTGTTTCCAATTTTAACATTTTCAATGAGCATGTTCAGTTTTTATAATTAGAAAAAAAAGTCGTGAAGGTGAAAATAGTATAATTCTGTTCCTCCTTTCTCTTTAGCTGAAATAGGGGCTGTTGGATCTTGCAGTTCCTCATTTGCTTTCTGTTCCCTCTTACTTCTGAGGAGAACCTGGCATAAGTGTCAGAACTCTGTGGGTCCTGGCTGAGAGGCTTCCCCTCTCTATGCTACCTCCTTGCCACTCTCCCTTGTCAGCTAAATTTGTGC